TGAAAAAAAAAAAAAAAAGAAAAAAGAGATCGCATTTAAATTCGTTGAAAAGAAATTCATACGAATTGTTTCGGAAAATCTATTAACGTTTTTTTTCATGAATTGAAAAAAGTCAAGTAGGTACGGGTCAACGGTAGTCAGACTGCAGTTCTTTTGATACACGCGACCGAGTTAAGTAGTTACGGTCAATGACAGGAACCCGTGCCGGGTGTTTAAGTAGATATGGTGGGCCATGGTCAGACCTATATTTCTCATTAATCATTTATATCATAATACTTTTAATATACGTCATTTATTCTTGATACTATAATCATTCTTATAGACAATATATTAATTATAACGAAGATTATAAGTTATCTCTTTAATAAATATTTAATAATAATAATAATTCGATTTAAAGACAAATATTATTTGATTTGAATGAAAAAAAAAAAAAAAACAAAATATGTGTGTAATATTGATATAATTAAAAAATATATATAAAGTATATGATACGATAATAGTATAAAAAAAAATCCAATATAATAACGTAGTTCAATAAAAGACCAATGAAATTCAAACAAATTGGGGATAGATTTAGGTAGTTGTTATATATGGTCAAAGGTAAACCAGCAAACAGTACTCGAGCCCCCTCTACCAGATAGTTACGTTATCAGGTGAGAGCCATCGACAAAGGTGAACTATGAAAGAGTAAAAGTAGTAAGGCTGACTTTCTCTAGGGCTTCCTTTTCGAACCGTTAATGACAAGGTGGTAAGAGTTAATTGGTACTTTCGAATCTCTCCAAAGTGTTAATTGGCAATTTGTCCGGCAGTAAGGGTTTCGCACTTACTTCGCTTCTCCTCGATATCTTCAAATTATGCGGCAGAACGTTGCGCAACGGGGTAGTTTCGTCTTTATGTGGTGGTCACAAGTAGGACAGTCAACGAGACGATCTAGCGAGAAGACAAAATCGAAGCTCTCGGTGAAATTTTATTGCAAAGTATAAAATACCAAAAGATTTGTCATTTGTTATCCTTAATATTACATTTCATTTAGGTTTAATGATTTCCCACAATTTCAATCATTGCAAACAATTACAAATAATCTAGAAAATGTATTTCCTAAAACCTAAATTGACGATACAAATCATACGCGTGTACAGATTATAATAGAAATAAAATTGTTAGAAGAAAACTACATCATATCAAACGATAACAGTGTGCAATGGTGAATTCTCCTGTTTCCACAGTAGTTGATACTACTGCCTACTATTTTCTTAGTTTTCTTCCTCGTACAGTTACTCGAACGAACGGTCGGTAACGAAGCATCCGTGGTACATTGCTACGTTGCTTCTGGTTTTTCAGAGATGCCGCTCTGTCGACTGCATCAGAAATCTACGACCCTCTTTCTATACATATTGTAGCCTAAGTGTTACCCCTTTCCTCCCCTCTCCCCCTCCCCACAACTCAATAAATAAAATAAATTCGAATGAAAAAGCAAATTAATTATTATTTCTTGCATATAAACATTTCCAAACAGATACCATTTATAACTCTTATGCATTCCTACTAAAAAGTATCCGCAAAATGTATCCCGATGAACAATAAATAATAACAAATTTAATACAATATATATATATATATTTTACATTCGTATTAAAAATGTCCTCTACAAAAAAAAAAAAAGAATCTATAATCAAATAATTAAATTCGATTATTTAATATCTCAAATTATTTCGTAAATATTTTCTTAATCGATTGTAAAACGAAAAATCGTTTGACCTTGATAGAAGATTCTACGTAAAAAAAAAGAAGAGAAAAAAAAAACAGAAATCAAAAAGAAATTTAATATAAAAAAAAGTAACACGTACAATTTTTGTTTTATGTTCTTTTTTTTTTGTTTGTTGTTGATTCTCTCTAGCACAAACGTACAACACCGTTAAATGAAAGCAAATATAACAAACGGTTTGTCAGAATAACTCTGACGATATGATATAAGAGCTATAGAAATCTAATGCGTTTGCCATGACAAATGACAAACGGGCTTAACCGGGTGGTGCACGTGTCGTTGACAGTTTGATGCCTCGTGCTCGTTCGTTCGTTCGTTCGTTGCTATTTTAATCGTTCGTTTCTTGCGAACCCCTGAAGGCCTATCTCTCTTCTTCAAAAATTATTTCTATCTCCGTATAAATGTATGTTTCAAATATGTGCACGTGTTACAAACACACACACACACAAACTAACACACACACACACAATGGGTAAAGGCAATTTTGAAAGTTTTCTTGGAATACGTGCCAAGACCTATTGTATTATATAGAAAGCATCCTATTTCTCTACTAAGGTTTGCCATTTTATCGTTTTGCAGATATCCTCTCCTCGAACGAAGATCCTGTGACGTCACTTAGACATTTTTCGAGAAACTAAATACAACTCGTACTATCTAACGTTCCAACGAAATTGGAACAAGACGTTAGGAAAATATCTAACCTATTTTAACTAAACCTTAGTGGTAACCACCATTAACTGTACCATTATCGTGTTCCTTATATCCAACATCTCAATGGAATAATATATACAAACAAATATATTTATATCTCTTCGTTGTACGATCGTATAATACCAAGTTAAAAAATTCAATTGTAATTTTTACTAATTAATATAAATAAATTAATAATACACATTAGTATTTCTATACAAATTGTTATAATTTTTTCAAAAAAAAAAAAAAATATCAAAAGTTGTGGTCGTTGGAAATGATTTAGTAATTACGAATAATACAAATAGTTAGTTATTTCTCTCGTCTCTCTAAAAATAAAATTATTAATAAATAAGTATCGTAGGTAATTTGGACATTCGAAAGAACTAGAACTTAGTTTTGATTAATTGGACATATACATACAGAATGTATATCTGCTTAAATCAAAAAAAGGTGCTGAACTTTAGAGATTAAGTTGCTGAATAAGTCCCAATAAAGGGACGAAACGTTCAATTAATCAAAATTAAGTTCTAGTTCTTTTTAATGTCCAAATTACCTACGATACTTATTTATTAGTACAAATAAATATTATATCATCGAGTACTTAAGGGGCACACTTAGTGTGACCGCCTAAAAAAAGGTGATTTTTAAGAATGTTTTTAAAGAAAACTACTGCATGAAATATTTTAAAATTTATAGGATATATTTATACATAATTAAAGAATATTCACTACAATTTTCAAATAAAAAAAGGTAATTTTCAGCGAGTTATTCGCTATCTCCCTAGTCACTATAAAAAAGGGGCCTAAACAACTGCAGTGATTCCGGCCTTCACCGTGGATGAAATAAACAAAAAAAATATACTGTTAATCTAGAAGAGGTATTGTCTATACAATGACCTAAAATTGTGGAAAAAAAATTGAAATTTAACAAAATGGCAGATTTTTAAAAAGAAAAATTCGAATTTTGCTCAAAATTTTGATGATATTTGGCTCACCATAATTACATTTTTTATACAATCGAAAAACTTTTAGGTCATTATACAGAGAAACATATACGAAATAAGCAGAAAAAAAAATCAAAGCGATCGGATGATTCATCTTCGAATTAAAACTGCAACCAATTTGAAAAATACAGTTTTGAGAAAAACGCGTTCAAAGATAAAATGATTGCATTCTAATCCCTCTTTAAAACACTATAACTCTAAAACTATTAGAAATATTTATTTGAAAATTCAGTGTATATGTTATTTATAAAGATATAAAATATGCAAAAACAAAAACAAATATCAATTTTTTCCAAATTTCACACCAGGTGTGCCCCTTAATGTTTTTTCGGAAGAATTGGAGTAACTCTAATCTCAAGATCCAATTAACTCGCAAATATATACACATATATTACATATATAAATAAATATGTTTGTGTATCTTTTGCTTGGCCGTATGGATTCTATTGCCATTTAACGTCCAATGCGCCGTGCCATTACCGCATCGATAGTTTATTGCGTGGGGACACCTCAGGCTACGTGCTCATGCTTTACCGTGTGTCCGAAGGCCGGTCAAGCCGATATTGGAAATCAATTAACCCGTGGCCGTGGAGCACCCGCACCACCTTCTTTGTCGGTTTTCCCTACGAGTTTACATACTCCTCTCTCTTTTTCTCTTTCTAATCACTCTCTTTCTCTCTCTCTCTCTCTCTCACTCTCTCTCTCTCTCTCACTCTCTTTCTATCTCTCTTTCTCTTTCAAAGTTTATGTATAAGTACGCGCGCGTTTTAACCAGCACGTGCCTCTATGTATTGTTTATATACGTATAAGAGTATATCAAAGGTTTGAGTATTTTCCGCACGTTACGAACTTATATAAAGCATGCCCGTTATTTTATTTATAACTTCGATATATGTGTTATATAATATTCATTTAGATACTTTATAGTGAACGAATCACGCGAACGTAGCTCTGTAACATATTTTTTTTTTTTATATATATATTTTTTTTCTTCTTACTATTACGAGAGAGAGAGAGAGAGAGAGAGAGAGAGAGAGAGACGAGTATATTTATTATTATTATTAGTATTTTTATTTTAATTGTTATGTTTTTTATTTTATAAAGATAGTATGTTTGTTAGTAATGGTATTGTTTATGATTTGATAATAATTTGTATGATAAAAATTGATGATTTTTAGGATGTTTCTTTGATCTATTAGGCTTTACCTACTTCCTGTACGATTATACGTTGACTCTGACTACTTAATTTGATTCTGATATTAACACCGTGAATTAAGACGGTTAGATGGCTTAGTATTATTGTTAATAAATTAATAATAAATATTATTTTATATATAATTTGGACATATCATTAACAATGTTTATAGAATAATCAGACGAACGATGTGTGTAAAATTAAAAAAGGTAAATGATCACGGGATTATTTGCTCGACACATAAATTTGTATAACTTATGTTAGATTTAGTTTCATTTTCGATTAGAAAATGATGAGATAAGATTGAAATAAATTAGGCGTTACACGTAGAAACAACTCACGTATGGTGTTGACGTAGATCGGCATATCTGGTGTGTCGTTCCTCTGAAAAGCCATAGATGCCAGCTACCGCGGCCATACCTCAATCTCCGCGTACTCCAGGAAACAGGATACCCAAACGTGGCTCATAACTTCTTCTATCGATTTATGCTTTTTTTTTTTTAATAGATATATAAATATATATATATAATATATATAATA